AGAATTTTGTGTGGGGATTTCAATATTGACTATGCTACTGCCTGTTCTGCCCAAAAATCCTTAACTGCTATTTTTGATTCGTTTGGTCTTTCAATTCATGCAACTGCGCCAACTAGAATCTCTAACAATTCAACTTCAACTATAGAATACGTGGCGTCTGATTTTCCCCCGTCTGATGTTCGATCGACAGTGTCTAACGCAGGTCTTTCTAATCATGAAGCGGTGATTGCCGAGTTGAATATTTCCCTCAAATCCCCGAGGAGAGCTCGCTGCTTGGGTAGAATCTTCTCATCTTCAAATTTCGCATTATTTTGTAACCTTTGTCAAACCACGATTTGGAGCTTTGAATCCGGGGATTTAAATTCTTGCTTTAAAGATTTCTTAAATAAAATGATAAGTGCTTTCAATGAGGCCTTTCCCCTTAGGTCCATTAAACCTAAACGCCATAAACATTGGATTACGAAAGGTTTACGCACCTCTGCGAAAAATATGCGCTCGCTCATGCATATAAAAAAGTTCACTAACTCCACTCAACTTCTCGAATTCATTCAAATTATAGAAAAATCTATCTAAAAGTAATCAAGTCAGCAAAGTAACTATGTTATCAAAATCCAGAATCAAAGTGCCAAGAATGTTTCTAAGGAAACCCATAGAGTAAGTAAAAGAAGTATATAATATTTAATAAGTAGTAAATAATTTTACTTTCTCTATGGAGAAACCTGGTCCATTGTTAATGATCTAAGAGGTGGGAGAAGACTCGGATGTGCTAAGTTGTGTGTGTCAACCAAGGACTCGGACCGAAACGAACTAGTTGTTCCGTTCCGGTTTCAGTCCAAGGCAAAATGTAAAATTTCGGTTCCGTTACGGTTCCGGTTTAGAAAATAATTTCCAATTCGGTTCCTTTCCGGTTCCGTTTTATTTTTTTCGGTTCCAAAATTTATATATAACAACGAACGAGGACAAAGATACTCTAATTAAGAATCTCACTATCTTTTTCCTTGCTTGTTGCATTATACAAGATAAAAGATGTGCAAACTATCCACTGCTTCATGCGGTACTTCGGCTGGTTGTACGGAAGGGGGTAGGAGTGTAGGAGGACTAGCAACCCCACACAAGGATTGAAATTCAGGTAACTTTAAATGGAACAACATTGCAATAAAGACTCCCATACAAAAATTAATTTAATCGTATTTTTGAAAAGTAATTTGTCAATTAATTTTGTGACTTTAGCGCTTTTCTCTTCTTTCCGTTTTCACTCAGGTCCACAACTTCGTCAAATCCTCTTCTTTCACTCTTATTTCCGTTTAAACATTGTTCTTCCTGGTTCATGTCTTCACCATATTTTGACGAGTTGCTTTTGTCCAACATTTCAATTTCAAATGTTTCTTTGTTGGTGATCGAAAAACTAAAATAATTCAACTTAAAAAAGAATTAAAAAATGGTGTATAAACGTACGCTGTTTGTTCTTTTCGATTGAAAAGTCGGTTGGTCCTCACAAATAATTGTTCCTCTAAAATGTATTCTTTAATATTTGACCTCGAAGGCGGCAGCAAAAATTTGAGTCCTGAGAATCACCTCTCAACACTAACTTAAGTTGCCGGTACGCTTAATAATACTTGAGCAAGCATGTATAAGTCGGGATTAAGCTCTTTCTTTTTCTTCCAGAAATTAAAAATCGTTTCATTTTTCCGTAAGCGCATGCGGCTTTGTTCCACTTTATAGGAATTTAAAATATTTTCAATTTTGTTAAGGGCTACAAATGAACCTTGTGAAGAAAATTCATGCCGATTAATGCCTTCTAAAAATTTTTGCTGTAAATCTTTATGTCTCAAAAAGAGTTCCATTTCGTCGCTTGATGAATTAGGTGATTCAGTTTCCCTATCGTGTCAGTCAGTCATATTTAGAATTAGAAGATTTTCACTCTTTGAAGAATATCAGTCTAGTCCATAACGACTTTAAATGTGCTTTTGCTCTTTCTACTTGAATGTAGTCTAAAACTACCTTATACCGAGGGTCCAAAAATATCCCAGCAAGGATTATTTTTCATTTGCTTGTAAAATGTACAGTAATTTCTTTCAAACGTGACAAGCAGAACCGAAAAAACCGAAATAAAATATGTTGGTTCCGGTTCAGCACCTAACAGTGTGTTAATATCAAATATGGATTCCGTTACGGTTCCGGTCCAAAAAAAACGGTTCCGTTCCGGTTCCTGGTATCAACATTAGCAAAAGTGTTACTTCTAGTATTTTGCCGGACCCTCTTTCGTTTCTTCCTCCTTCTAAGAAAATCGCTGATAGTTTCTTCCTAAGTCCTGTAGATCGTGTTGAGCTGCTACAGGTGATGCACAGCATAAAGAGTAAATCTTCATGTAGCACGGATAATCTATCAATAAGAATATGACCCTCCCACTTTGACAGACCTAATAAATAATTCCTTTGCGCAGGGAGCTTTTCCCTAATGCCTCAAAACTGCGATCATTATTCCTCTCCATAAAGGTGGTGAAAGGGATGCATCATGTAACTATCGTGCAATCGCAATGCTGCCTGTGTTGTTAAAAATAATTGAAAGGTTATTAAAAAATCGCCTCGTGCCATTTATCGTCAAACATGGAATATTATCTCCAGAGCAGTTCGGATTTTTATCTAACAAGTGCACCAATGATGCAGTATTTTCCTTGCTTCATAATATGTACTCATCGCTAATCGCTTCTGTGATTATGCAAAAGCATTCGACTGTGTGAGTCACAACATATATAAATAAGCTTGATTTTTATGGAGCACGTGGGATTTCTTCCAACTGGCTTAAGTCCTCTCTTCAAAATAGGCAACAATTTCTTAGAGCTAACGGGGCCGTCTCCGAGTGTAAATTGATCGCCAGTGGAGTCCCACAGGGTTCTGTACTTGGACCTATTCGAATAATATATAATAAAAGCAAATTATATAATAATAAAAGATCTTTTCCTGCTATACATCAATGACATTACCTACTTGAAGATCCATGGCAAAATTACCCTCTTTGCTGATGATACAAGCATAACATGGAGTGATTCTGATGCTGTGTCCCTCCACTCTAGGGTTTCCAGCGATCTCTTTATGATCAAGGCTTGGTCTGACTCTAGTTTGGTGCGTTTTAACGTCAATAAAACGGTGGCCTTATCTTATAGAGGAGCTTTACAACCCTTGCTCCTTCATAACAGTGTAGGACGTAAGTAAATAACGAAACCAATAAATTCTAAACGACCACCTAAGTGGGCATAGAAGCCGTGCAGATAAAGGTTGACATATACAGTAGCGGTAGGATATCATACCGAGCTAGTGAGGAGCGTTTTTTTAGTGAGGAAGATTTTCATGTACAAAAGCTGACTCAAATTCCGATCATCCTACTCAAGTACGTCGTTCCACCGCCCAACGAAAACTTTCTCAAATTCGTAGAACTCAGGGCTTGAGTTTATTACAAGCTTCTCCCGAAAGTGAAATCACGAGCAGTACTATTAGTTCAAATTCGCATCAGAGCAGCAATTATCAATGTGATTTCGTGTTGGTGTAAAAATCAACATCAGGTGAGTTTTCTCACAGAGTAGCCTTTTCAATATTCCTTATTGGTTTAACATTCAAGATAATGTTAAAGAGTGAGTGTTTCTTCAT